GTTCAAAATACAACTGTCTGGTCCTGTCCTCTCGTGACCTGTCACATTATACCTTGTCCTGTTCTCAGTATTCTTGCCTACATTTGCCAGAAATGCCAGGCGGGGGTCAGGAGTCGGGAACATGGGGTAGTAAATGTAACAGGCCTCTTTCCAGGAATGTGGCATGGGTGCTACAGCCTGCAACAACAGGCAAGACTGTTTGGGCTGAGCAATCGCACAGGCCGTAAATTATAGGCCAAGAGATTTGGTCCTTTCATTTGTAGTCAAGGACTGTGGTAATGGTTATCTGGGCCGCCCCTCATTAAGTAAACTAGAAGCACACATTGGTAATGCGCTGGAAGCTAAATAACTCTAGTAAGACTATGTTTCCATGCGATTTAAAAGTTATTTATGAAGCTTTACAGTTACTGACAGGAAGGTGGAGAAAGTCTCCCTTATGAGTGATTAATATCGCAGTTTTACAACCCCTAATACACTAAAATTATATGTGTATGGTGGGTTTTTGTGTTCAGTTCTGGCACAGTCAACACATTTAAGCATCTGGCTAGTTGATCTTGGTATCGTGATGCAGGAAAAACTAAATTAAATGCATGAAAAGCATAATTTGCATACAGATGAAGGCCTAAAATAGTGCTATTGCAGCCCAGATAATTTAGGCAATGCTTTTGGCACCGATGTTCGTCTGCTTTCATGGTCCAGCACCATCCATTCGTCATGTGCACCCAAGCCAACTGACCACAAGGATCATGCATGCATAACCAATATGTGTTTAGTCCTTTCAATAATCAGGTTAGGTGGTGGAAAGTTATTCAATATGCATTGCAAAGGAGCTAGTTCCACTCTGTAGCTGTATTTTTTGTGGTAAATTCAGTGTAATTTGCAAGGATTTTGACAAGCAGGCAAATCCATCTCTCATCCCACAGGCTCACAGGAATTTTTATCCCTTGAAACTCCTCAGATCAGTGCTGAGCTCTGTAAATTAGCGTTTAGTTTTCTCATACCAAATAAACGTAACAAGTTACAAGAGGTATTTAAACTAGACAGGAATGTGTTGTTAGGTCATTTCAAGTGTGTGCGAGATGACAGTGTTCCTGCTTTGGTTAATTGACATGATTCTCTAAATTTTACTGTTTTTATTGTTGTTATTATTGTTGTTATATATCTGTTGTTATGTAACTCAATTGTCTTTTTACTGTTTTTTATTGCTGTAATTCTTGCTACTAATTTGTTTTTATGGACTTTTTTCATCTGTATTGCGATTGCTCTCATATATTTATATCCTTCTAGCCCACTGAATGTGAACTCAGGTCACTGCAGTAAAAGAGCTTCCTGCTCAGTCAATTTCCCCTGAATAAACAATGGTTTGATTGATAGTTCTCTATATAAAAGGATTATCTTTAACATAATCAGTCAAAAGAAGCTTAAATCCATTTGGTATCTTCAAGGAGGCTTGATTTATTTTGATGTAGTGTTCTTTATTTCCACATCCGTGGAATATGTAAGCATTTCTGTCCTTTCATTCCCCAAATGTTGGCAACTCCCAACAAGTTAGGACAGCTCTGCTGCTCTCCTTCAACATGCAGGAGACAGAACGACTTGTCTATGTTGAGAAAACTGATGAAATGCTTTTTCTACTGAGCCAAAAAGTAACACTAAAAATGTGTTGCTCTGACAGTTTTGGTTCGGTCCTATTCTGAAGTTTTGATATACAGACACTGACCCATATACTTACACCCAATGTGGTACATTCCAGCAAAATAACTATAATTGCAAATGCTGGGTTAAAGAAAGCGAAGGAGTTATGTTAACGTCAAGTCCTTTCTGTTCACCAAAATCATTTTTAACAGTTTGTTGATCAAAAAGTTCTTTGCCTTTATCTGTTCCATCTTCAGCAGTTAATAAAAACACAATCTTAGCTCAGGACTCTCATCAGTTTATTTTGAGGCACACAGGACTGAAACTTGAAAGTCAAATCAGAATTTACAGTAACTTGTTGATTGTTTAAAGCCATTTCACAGCCCTTCACCAATACCACATACCATTGGTTAGAACCACATAGCCTGGATGTCTTGAGATTTGTCTCATTAGGAGGATCCATTCATCACAAATAAGCCAAATTCCACCTTCCACCATGTTTGTTTCACAAAGGACTTTACAAAGGATCCATTAAACACTGATTGTGCATTAAACGTTTTTCCTTTTAAGTGTGTGAACTGACATCTTGTCCAGGAAATATATTGTAGTCATAGCACTTCCTCACTGACATGAAGCTCTCTAGTGTCTTTAGGCGCAAGGCTTTAACTTTATTTCTGCTTAATGCATTACTTCTGTCATGGTTTATTTTGGCAACAATAAAAAGCTGACTTGTATTTTGTCAGCAGGTGTCATGTAAGTGAAATGATTTCTTTTTCACCTGGAGCAGATTCCTCTCTAAGTTAATACTGCCATAACAGTTAAGGTGCCACTTTTCTGCCTCAGATCTGTTGTCTCTCGAAGCCTTTGATAAAATAGTGGTGCAGACAGAAGTGTGTCTGTGTGTCTGTATGTGTGAGTGTATGTTGGCTGACATTTTGAAGTATGAATGTAAGTGTATGTGCAGGTTTTACACACACAATACTAAACAGTCATCACCGATAAGTGATGTGGTAAAGTAGAATTAGACTAAATCCAAGAAGTGAAAGTGCAGCAGTGTCACTTTTCCCCTAAGATCGCAAACAAAGCTGGTTTCAGCGCTGGACTGTGAACAGACACTTTCTGCCGGGTGACACCCCATTGTTAAGTCCTGCTTTTTCAGAGTCAGCTCTGTGGTTGGCTCTAAAGTTGCTTGAAAGTTCACACAGCTCATGTTGCCTCTGGCTCCCAGACGTCGCTGCTGTATTTTTTAAATGTTACTGAAGGGAAGTGTGGCAACCCTGACAAGTAAATCATAATAAACCATGAAACAATAGGCTTTACACAGCTGGAAAAATTGGAACTGTGTGCTTAATAACAACAATCTAACTTAATGTTTGGTGTTTATTTGCTTGTGTTTTTTCACTACCTGCCCAGCATCAAATAGCAGGTCGACACGGTCAGTGACTAGCTAAAGACAGGCTAAAGAGCCAGATATTCCTAGGAGCAGGGCTGGGCGATATGACCAAAATCTCATCACGATATAGGTCATTTCATATCCCGATAACGATACATATCACGATATAGCACATTTGAATCCAATGATAAAAAGTTGCCCCCCCAACACCTCCCCACCGCTTAAATGTGCCTCTCTGTGTGCATTTACGTAGCATGCAGGAGTTCCGGATTCAGAGGTGTGACGGGGATCAGACTGATGAGAGCCTTAAACTCTGCCATGAGGGAGTACAAAAACATTACTAGGACGAGGCGAGGACATTTCTCCTTGTTTGATAATGAGTCAGGCAACCAGCTCATTTTAAAGAAGACGAGAGAAAAAGAGAGAGAGTGAGCAGCTGTGGTCGAGCAAGCTAGAGAGTGAGTGCTGGTAGCGAGAAAGCTGATGAATCAGATCAATAAAACGTTATTTTCTGATTGTTTCACAGCGGTTATGTTCTAAAGCACAAACACACCCACACACCTCCGCTCAACACTGAGGCTGTACTCCGCACCATCTAATTTGGTCTGAATATTGTCGCCGTCTCTCTGCGGGGCTGAGCCCTCAGTGTGTGCAGCGCAGCAGAGACAGACAGTGGAGTTATATAAACCCGTTATGTTACTTTAAGTGCCGTAAAAGCTTTGCGAATTAAAAAGCCAAGAAGAGTAATTTATCAGTGAGATCTGTGCAAAAGATGGACAGACTCCAAATGACAAAAAATATTGCCGTAAAAAGTAATTTGCGTCACAACGATATAAACGATAGAGCAAAATATGAAACGATAGACATTTTTCTCTCGTCACACGATATATATCGTCATAGAGCACAGCCCTACCTTGGAGCTAGTAAAGACCAAAGACAGAACTAAAAGAAGAGTAAATATTGAAGTAACGTACGGGAAATGGCCAGAAACACGTCTCTGATTGAATGATAATCTTGTACCCTAACTACTTGATGTGTAAATGAGTAACTATTTGCTAACATGTTTGCTAGTTCAACATAAAAAGTGACATGTCAATACTGTGTTCACATCTTGCTTCTGCTGCCCCCATGTGGCCAAAAAATGTACTATGTACTAATCTATAAATTTCAGTTCATCTTGCGAAGGATATAACCTGTTGTACTAAATTTGAGGTTGCCATTTTGAAAGCATGTTACCCGTGAGTTTCCACAGTGCAAGCTCTGGTTTATATTTCCATCACAAAGGACACTGGGCTTTATTTCATCATGGCCTTATGAACATTTTTCATTAGGCATCCGGTGGTCATGACGTGCTGAACACCAGAGTAAAAAAAATAAAAAGGAAACTTTCTTACCTTACATGAACCAGATGTTTGGACATTGTACTTTGTGATTTTACATTTTGTCTGTGAGGTGAACATTACATGTATTCCATTCATTTTGTAGATACTGAATGTTTTATTGGAAAGAAACACTTTTTCCCACTGGCCTTCCTTATTCTTTCCTAATGAGCAGTGGGAACAGAGGCTGTTATGACAGCATGCCTCCCAGCAGGATAAGTGACTCATTTATAGAAGACATAATGGAAACTTTGAATATTGTTAGATCATTGTCTAATTTAGTTTGGAAACACACCATCATTGCACTAACTGTTAACTCACGGTAATACAAACTTCACATTTATTTGTATGTGTGGTTTAAGAATCAGAATGGCACTATGTAATGGAAATGTAGTTTGTCGGTTTTTGGTGGCCATTATGAAAGCAAAGCACTGGGAATTATGGATGTACGGAATAAAGCTTGTGTGGAATGGTGGTAGAGAATAGGCAGACAGGAGAGTGTAAAAAACTGTTTTGCTATACAGGCGTGACATGAAAATGAGATAAGATGGTGTGAATTTATTGTGACGTAATGTGATTGTGTGTCCCTGCAGGTCATCGAAGAAGACAGAATGATGTCTTTAATCCTTGTGGCTCTGCTCTGCTGCTGCTGGACAACACAAGCAGAGATCTTCACTTCCATAAGTAGGTTTAAAGAGCTATGTGAACTTTTTTGTCTTGTGTTTTTTGTTCTATTAAAATTAACAGTAGGTCTCCTCAGCTTTCATTTGGTCCATTGTAAAACTTTCTTGACTCACATTAGAGGCAGAAGCACTGCGAAGCATGCCAGTTTCCTGTGGAGCGCTGCCCACTACCTTTCGGTGCCCACTATCTCAGCTGGCGATTTCCAGCAATAGTTTCAGCTTCTGGTCTATTTTCTCTGTAAGCTACAAGTGAATCTGGTATGAAAACACACTGATAATCTATAAGGAACAATATAAAGGATATGTTATATACAGAGGTTGCGCTAGACTTTTTCGTCGCTGGTCATTTTGACCGACATGGTCGTAAAAATCCGGTCATAATCTATTTTTACCGGTCATTTTAATTTTCGTTTTTAAATGATAATAAAGATATTCAAAGACATTTAGTTTTAATTCATTCGTTTTTAATAAATCCAACAAGCAAGTTATAAAGTGTGCATTAATAAGGACATGAACGAAAAGATGAACAGACATCCACACACCGCAGTGCTTCAGTTCGGCGTCTGGTCTACGCGCGAGCCGTGAGCGCTTCTGTCAAGCTGGATAGAGCGGATCGTACCAAACAGGAAGTCGGACACAGAAAAGACGAGAGAATCCCGCCAATTTTCAAAATAAAATAACAGCATGCACTGAGGAATGTGAGGGAATACCATGTTTATAATTTAAAATAACACAACAGTGCATAACCGAACACATTTTTCAATACCCTAATCACTTGATTTTAATTTTGTGTCACCTTGCCTACAGACTACATAAATAAAATGGTCAGAACAATATGCCCTATTCATTCAGTGTTAATCCAACACGCTCAATACATGGACATGCAATGACAAATTGTCATTAACTTATTACGTTATAAAAAAACGATTAAAATATGGACTTACCCATGTTTAAAATGACCTGTTGAAGTGAAAAACAAGTACTGACGGGAACAGACGAGTGGAGTCGATGTTTAACCATCGCGGAAAGCGCAGGAGAAATGCGCTGCCTGTGTGGACAGTCAAGCGCCTGAGAGTAAAATCGCAGGACTTCTGAAGCACTAACGCATCTGGTGTATCCAGGCAATTATGTAAACAACACTACATGAAGCAGATGAATGACTTTTTCTCTGCAGTGTGAAAACGGCAGCCACTTAAACCACTGACTGTGCACTCCGCCGCCAAGTGGGCAGGGGTGGTAATTGCAACCAGTCAAATGACCAACGGCCTTCAGATTTTCCAGTCACCTAACCCTAACCCTACCCCTAACCACACATATCAACACAAAACTGCTTTGCTAGCTCAATCATGTTGTAACTAAGATATCCATTGGAAAAAATATTTTTTTCACGGGCCATTTAGTGAGTTTTTTTTAGATGGCGGCGGAAGCTATGTGAAGGCGCTAACCCTCGTCTGCTAAGTTTTAAAAATGCCGGCTATTTTGTTGCTTTCTGTTGTCGTCACATCCCTCCTTGAGTATATCCAATCAGCACCAAGTAATCCCCAAGCCCCAGCCGGGAGTCTTTCGGGGCCGTTCTGAGTACCTACCCCGAGGCAGGGACTTGTTTAGCCCCTGTAAAAGTTCCAGTGTGAACCTGCCATCAATTTGCCACAAAACCCCCTTTGATACATTCTTTTTTTTATACATTACTGAAATATTTAATTATTCCTATGTGTATTCAACCCCAAATGTTCCCTGTTCCCTTCCCTCTTTTTTGTGATTGGAATTATTTATGATCCATTAATGGAGAACACTGATGAGACTTAGATAAACTGTTTACCTCACTTTAAGTCAGTGCCTCAGGGTGTAAACTTAATGCTATTTTGGGAAATAATATTATGATATATTACTGATTTGTTATACTCATATTACAAACCTTGCACCTTGGGCCACAATAACACAAAAGTCTTTTAGCATGGCAGTATAGCTCTATCCCTCACACTCCTTGAAGCTGCCCTGTGGAATTTTATTGTAAACAAACAGAAGTTATATTTACATTCAGTGTTACTCTGTAAAACTCATTATGTGTATCCTTGAAAAGACTTAAAAGTGTTTTCTTCCTCATAAACACTGATATTGTATTTTACACCGATCAGCCAAAACATTAAAACCACTGACAGGTGAAGTGAATAATATCAATTATTTCATGACAATGCAATGTTCCGCTGGGAAACCATTGGTCCTTGCATTCATGTGAATGCCCCTTTACACACTCCACCCATGTAAAAAAAAAGTATGTAAAAAGTACCCCCGATGACAGGAGCCCGCCAGCAAGGCAGTGCACCATGCCACACTGTAAAAAAATGCTCAGGAATGGCCTAAGGAACATGACAAAAAGCTTAAGGCATCAATCTAGCTTTCAAATTCCCCAGATCCCAACCTGATCAAGCATCTGTGCAACAAACGGGTGCCCCAGAGCTTCTTTGTCCGGGCAGTAATAGGCCAGAGCCACATCCAATCTGTGGTGAGGTCTCTGACCTGTCAAGGCATGGAGACAGGACCTCTGGGGGTGTCCAGTGTAGACTGGCACCAGATCCGTTGAGTCCTGTGGGTTATAAGGAAAGGTACCAGCATGCCCAACGGATGTTGGATTGGGATCTGGGAAATCTGGAGGCCAGGTTCACGCCTTGAGCTTAGTCACGCCTGCCGAGCCATTCCTGAGCAGTTTTTGTGGTGTGGCATGGTGCATTGTCCTGCTTGGGGGGGGGGGCACACTGCCTTTGGGGAGTGCCGTGTCCAATAGGGGGGGTGTACTTGGTCCGTAATGGTGTTTGGGTGGGTGAAGTGGCATCCACCCAAGGTTATACAAGCCACCCAAGGACCCAACGTTCCTCAGAGGAGCATTGCACTGTGACAAAACAATTAATTCAATTCACCTGCCAGTGGTTTTAATGTTTTTGCTGATGGATGTAAATTCAGCATTGTTTACAGCCATGCTTATGCAGTCTTCCTTCCTGGCTTTACCTGCACATTTCACATTTCTTGGTGCATTACTGCCACCTTCAGGTCAGTGGAAGGGTGTTACACCATTGGCAGGACTGTGTATCGCATCACCCACATGATTATTCGTCTTTGTGCCGGTGAACAGGACAACACTCATGAATAAAACTGCTCCATAATAATAGGATACCTTTAGCTAGGCTTTATCATAGTCATAATTAGGTGATCTAAGCTTGTTTTGCTCTCAATAGGAGCATCAGCTGAATGCCACATGTAGGAAAGAACAGAGTTTTGAGCTCAGGAATGCATGTGTTTAATTTGCAATGAAAAATGTGTTAGATGGAGGAAGTGGCAAAGAGGCCACTTAAGTCTCTCTTTAGGCCCCCTGAATAACTTTATGAGAAATTACTGTGGTCCAGCAGTTCCTTAAATAGAATTTATAAACAAAACAAAAGTTTTGTGTTGTGTACAGAGCTCAAACACAGTCACAGTATGCATCGCATCACTCAGCAGGAGTTATAAAGTCACAGCGAAATTCACCTTGATTGACTGCACTTGGCTGGTCACTTATGCTGTTTGCATACAGAAACAAGGAAAGTGTTTCAGTTGTTCTTCTTCCCTGGCGACCCCTGTGAATTAATCATGGCCCAGCGTTTCCATGGGATTAGGATGCACGCTGCACTCCAGCTATTCACCCAAAAGCTCATGGATGAATGCACTGCAGTAGTTTGCCAAGTAATTCTATACAATCAAAGCCCCACTGTTTGTGGCTGAGGGGGACTTATTTTTATCTCGGTGTAAGTCTGAGGCAAACAGTGCGACCAGAAATACACTTAATTGGTGTGTAAAGCAAATGACAGCAGACATAGAAGTTTTAGTTGGATTGTTAGTCGTAGCAACTCTTACATTACAGGAGGGTGGGAGAAAATAGTGCTTTATTGAGGTTTAAATTAGAAATAGAAAACATTTGACTAGCAAATAATAAATACATTTTTGACACTAAGGAAATTAAGAGGTGACACATCTTTTAAGTGAGGAAGGGTGATGCTGATTTCATCTTCAAGTGACACCTCTCGCTCATCTTTAGTATCTCTCTCTCTCTGCAGGCCAGATGACGGACCTGATCTACACAGAAAAAGAGTTGGTCCAGTCTCTGAGGGAATACATAAAAGCAGAGGAGTCCAAGCTTGCTACTGTCAAAAGGTACATTTGAACCCTGTGACTTTTCCATGTGACTTTTTATTTTGCATGATAGGTCAGTATGAGGTGATAGATTTTGTAGAATGCATGCAGTGTGCTATAATGTGTGTATTGGTATAATTGGAGCTTTTACAGTCGTCCGTCTGTCTCTTAGCTGGGCCAACAAACTCGATGCTCTGACCAGAGTGTCCACCTCTGACCCAGAGGGCTACCTGGCCCACCCAGTAAACGCCTACAAACTGATGAAGAGACTCAACACAGAGTGGTCTGAACTGGAGACACTGGTGCTCCAGAATCCCTCTGACGGTAAGAAAAGGAAGACGGGAGGGAGGAGGAGTGGAACTGGATAAGTGTGGTGTGATTTTGCTTTGCTTGGATCATTGATCTATCCATTTTGTGAGCAAGCTCCATTCAGATAGGGTAGTAAAAAAAGGTTTGTCTGGCTATACTGGCGTAAAATTGACTTTCAGAGTTTCCTGGAGTGTGTGCTTTTGGGCCACATGCAGCTAGGGGCCTGATTGTCTGATTCAGAGTATGCAGACATTTGCTGTGGTAACAAGCACAGACAGTGTGTGTGTCCGAGAAATCTTTTTTTCCCTCTGCATTAATTAGTGATACATCTGGTACTGACTGCAAATTTACTCAAGCTGAAACAAATTAAACCAAATCAGATATGTCTTTGCATCAGTTTATGCTGCCTCGGCCAAATCTGCATCTGTTCAATCTTGCCTGTGACGTCTAAATTATTCTTCGCATCGTATAATGCATCTGAAAGGCAACATTCAGCACTTTCTCTATGGGGTTTCTTTCAGCATGAGCAGAGAGCAAGCAGCAAATAAGAAAACTCGGAGCGGATGTGAGCAGAGTGATTACAGCTCTGACTGTAGTGTGGAAATTTTTGCTGAGCTGCTCCGCTCAAACACTCTGCTCCCCAAATGAACAGAGGCTGTCATTTTTTAGCTACAGCTGTTCCTCATCTGCATATTTTGGCCATGTTCTCCCTCTGTGTTTGTGTCTGTGTGTGTTTGTTTGGACCTGAAATTCTGTGTGTGTGTGAGGCATATAGCAAGAATATTAGTCATGTGTCATACAAGTAAATCTGTCTACGTGGCAATGAGACACAGAGAGAAAGAAGGCGAGTAGAGTGACTGGATATAAACCTAATAAACACAAGTAGTTAGAGGACAAACATTATTTTGATTTAGTTTAATGTTTGTACTTTTCTTAACCTTCATATTAGCTGTAGTTCTACTTTTTTATTATACATTAGCTAATGGACCTTTGCCAATCGCACATAATATGTAGTATAGACCCATTTATCTAGATCGCAGGTGTCTTCACTCGTACAAAACTGCACATACAAATCATAGAAAATATTTCATTATCATGTTGCATCAGCCCTCAGGAGTTTCTTTTATGATTTACCAGAATGTACTCAGCAGTAGATGGTCATATCTGATATGATGAGATGAAATAAGAGGAATATGGAGGACCATACATGATAATATTTATTCAGTACATAGCACTTCTGAGTAGTCATCACTAGCTACACACAAGACTCTGAATTAAATGTAAATGATTGGAAAAGGCTGAATGAGAAGGATGATACTGGTTACTCAGACGCCTCGGACAAGGCTCTGATTGTTTACAGAAAGTCAGGAAAGTTTGAACAGACCATGCCAAAATATTGGGAACAGCCCATTGGTCCGACATCCCATTGTTCCGACCATATCAAACCCATTGTTCCGAAGTCCGTTCCGAAATCATCATGATGCCCTGTGGTTTAGGTCTGGTTAGATTTAGGCACAAAAACCACTTGGTTAGGGTCAGGAAAAGATCATGGTGTGGGTTAAAATGAAAAAGAAAGTGACAAACACATAAGCCGTGAGCCTGCTTCGCCTCAAGCCTTTCCCAGCTGACCCAGAGCCGGTCGCAGCGCACCATCAAGGTAGAAATAAGCCGTTGAGCACCGCGGACAGGCGGACTAATGGGATGTCGGACCAATGGGCTGTCGGACCAATGACATGGACCCGAAATATCAGCGATATTGTTACTTGGACATACGCCCATTGGAAGTTGCAGTTTTATCATTTAATGCATTTAAAACTCGTACTCGTACTCATACTCGTCGTCCTCCGCTTATCCGGGTCCAGGTCGCGGGGGCAGCAGCCTCAGCAAAGAAGCCCAGACAGTCCTCTCCCCAGCCACCTCCGTCAGCTTTTCTGAGGGAACCCTGAGGTGTTCCCAGGCCAGCTGGGTGATGTAATCCCTCCAGCGTGTCCTGGGGCGGCCCTGAGGTCTCCTCCTGGTTGGACATGCCCGAAACACCTCCCAAGGGAGGCGTCCGGAAGGCATCCTTACCAGATGCCCGAACCACCTCAACTGGCCCCTCCCGATGTGGAGGAGCAGCGGCTCTACTCCAAGTTCCTCCCAGATTTCCGAGCTCCTCATTTAAAACTGATAAATTAAAATCAATGCCATATGTGTTTCACTGTAATGTAAGCACAATGTGACTTTTATGTATTATCTCTAAAAGGTTATAATACTGTAAATAGTTTTAGATTGGTAAGTTATTGCAACATTGTCATCTTTGCGTTAATTTGGTGAGCCAGTAATTGACTTTCCCAGGCTAACTATTTCTCACTCTCTCTCCAGGGTTCATTTCCAACATGTCCATACACAGGCAGTTCTTCCCAGATGAAGAGGATGAGACCGGAGCAGCCAGGGCGTTGATGCGTCTTCAGGACACGTACCAACTGGATTCTGAGGCCTTCTCCAAAGGAAAGCTGCCAGGTAGCCGAGGAGTGAACATGAATATATTAAGAGGGAGAGAGCAGTGTGTTCGTTTAGGGAAGAAAGAGAGGAAGACAAACTGAGACCACCCCTAGTGATTTCTAACTGATGTGTTTGTGCATGTTTATACTACTCTCTTTGTGAAAAGCAGTTTGAGTTTTTTTGTGAAATTAGGTCATGTTCAGTCATCACTTCTTCAAGGGTTTGGGCTTAAATTTAGTTATTGTTAAGGTGGGGTAGAAGTAAGGTAATTATAATGAATACTTTGGCTCTGAGTTATGATTGGGTTAATGATAACTTTGTATGTGGTTTTGAAACAAATGACGCAGTTACAGTTGCAGCATACGCAGACACATGTTGAATCCTTTCCCTCAAGTTCAGCTTTATTTGTTAATACAACACTTCATCACAGATCTAAGGACCCAGACCTAGCAGCATGCACTGCTGTCTTCACCATGGCTGTGTCTTATACTACTACTAGGAGTTGCCAAAATCAGAACACACATATAACCTTTAAAATTATAACTGATCATAAATGGCTACATGAAATGCACTAGAAGCATAGTTGCTTGGTTTTAACTCCCATTTCAGTGGCATTCTAGACACAATTTGGACACACCACAGGAATGAGAAGATGTGTGCTGTTGCATACTTCTGCAGGTATGTGTCTGTGTTAAGTTAATGAGGCAGAAGCCTGTTTTTGTATGTGCTAGTTGGCTGTGCCTTTTATGCTGAGCAAGTAACCACTAACCACAGTTGACAGACTCTGCAGATCTCAACCTGCCCACCAATAAACAACATAAAACCAATGATAAATGTCTAAAATGTGACAATTATCACATTTTGGATGATGCTCATTCTACGGTACATCATGAAAAAACAGTAGCTGCCAAGTCTAGTGAGACGTAAAATATCACAAATGAAAAAAGGCCCCACACATTTGGTCTTTACACAAGATCCACCAATGATAAATAAATAAAATGTGAATGTAACATAAATATGTCATGAAAAGAGCAGGATTTTTGGTAGGTAAAATCACAGCACAATATGGTCATTATTTAAATTGATGTGATCTTGTCCCAGGTATTCACTCCAATGCCATACTGACAGTGGACGACTGCTTCGACATGGGAAAGACGGCCTATAATGATGCGGACTATTACCATGCTGTGCTGTGGCTGCAGCAGGCCCTGAAGCAGCTGGATGGTGGCGAGGAAACTGAGGTTTCCAAGGCAGACATTTTGGACTACCTCAGCTACTCAGTTTACCAAATGGGAGACCTACCTCGTGCCATTGAGCTGACACGCCGTCTAGTGGCTATTGGTAAGGTAACACACAGAAGTGTACAGAAAAAAAGATGTATATGCTTAAATCAGAGTGATAAGTATACACATTACACAAACTCTCTCATTCATTTACGTCAGGCTTTGCTGCAACCATAAACGCGGGGTAAATGGGTTCATGGTCTTTAAGAAATCTAAAATAGCACTTGTATATAAGGAGCACTGTTGGATTTTTCAGTTGCCTCCCATAACACGTCCAGACACAAGTTAGCTGACCAACAGAGCCACAGCCCTCTACTGTGGGGTAATTGATAGGTTGTCTTGTTGCTGTTTCACCTATCACTACAGTCCACCCTCCCCTCTCACTGTAGTGAGCTCTGTGCTTGCCAGAGCAGCAGGGTGTTGTCTATCCAAAGTAAGAGCCTGTGGTCTGTAACTGTTATTTTAGTCTCTGCATCAAGGGCGTTGATGACAGCTGCAGGCCATCACTTAAGATGTGTGGTATGCTTGTTTACATGTCAAGTGAAATGGATTGAGGTAGAGCAGATGTAGCAGACTTAGACCTACTCTATGCCATTAAGTGTTACAAAGGTAACAAAAAGAACAAATAAAACAGCCCATACACACATAAAAAAGGAAAACGGAAGCAGTAAAGGGTGTAGAGAAGCAATGTCTATTCCACCGTAAGCAAATGAAATCTAAGTGTAAATGAAAGAAAAGGAAGAGTAGTGAGCATAGAAAGAATCACTTTAATTCTGTTCTCACAGGGGAGACGTTATACAGTAAATTGCATTTGTTTAAAAGAGCCACAAAAGTAGTAGTGCAAAAAATAGCAACAAAGAACATACAAAGTCAGTACAAACACATTAATGGGACAGTTCAGTGCACAGTAAAACAGCAAGGCTAGGTAATGCAAGTAAATGTATGAAATGCAGGAAAAAAAGATCATTGTTACATCCAGCGCCAGTTAAATCCATTAATCAAAACAGGTCTTTTGCAGGTCTCCTTTAGTGGGAAACTGTTTATACTGGGCATCTGTCAGGAATACATTTGTGTCACTAAATCAGTGCACTACATCACTGTTGGAAAAGAGCATAAATACTAATTTATGTTGTTTATTGAATCCCTGTCTCAGCAGTCTGACTCCATGTTTAGGAGTTTAGACAACAGTACCTCCAACAAACTGTACAAATGCACGTTTTCCCCTTGCAAAAATAACCTAAATTAAGTTCATTCTTTGGATACACTTTGTTTACAGTGTGGTATGACGTGTCTGTAATTTTGGTACATGAGACAGCTTTGTTCCTACATGAGAATCTCCAGGAGGCACAATACGATGCTGTTAATCCCTCTGCTCACTGAGGATGCAGTGTATTTCCTCAAAACTCCACAAGGGGGTGCTCTCTTTCTACTCCTCACTATGTACTTGCTTCAGTAAATCAAACACTAACCAAAGGAAATGAGAGAGACACCAAGGATTAGCTGTGCATGAAGTAGTACCGTGATTTACTGAAGCAGACATAGCAATGCCACACCTTAAAATACTTCAGTACAAGCTAAAGTTCTGCATTTAAAGTGTTATTCAAATAAAAGTATTGAAGTAGTAGCAACAAAATTTACTTAAAAATATGAGTACTCATTATGCAGTATGTGTTGGTTGGTAATTTTAACTTCTTCATACACTGTTGGGTAGTTTACTCTATATGAATGCATTATATGTTAATATGTTATTATATGTAACTATAGAGTTTTAGTGAGTAGAAGTATAGACCCTATCATGTACATTTTTCTTCTTGTGCTGACAGACCCCAGCCACCAGAGGGCAGGAGGAAACCTGCGTTATTTTGAGCGGCTGCTGTCCAAGCAGCTCAATGAGCTGAAGCAGGAGTACGAGCCTGCCTCTGAAGAGCCCATCCAGCTGGGAACCTACCGCAGACCTAAAGACCATCTCCCAGAGAGGGAAGCCTATGAGGCTCTCTGCAGAGGAGAGGGAATCCAAATGGTGAGACATGGAGAGAAAAATATAGGCATATTGGGACGTAGGCAGTTTGTAATTTAAAGTAATGTAAAGGCCTGTAGCAGACAGAGATCTTTACTTTCATATCTTAAATGTTAAAGGGGATAGATATAGGATTCATACTTCCCGGCCAGTAGGTGTCGCACTCACACTCGCCCGCTCTCGCTCCACTCTTCAATTCTACAGGTTGCCACATAACCAAATCAAAATATTGACATATTTTGAGCCCGTAAAAATTTCTGAAACAATTATTTCTCCACTGTAATTATTTTTTTCAGGAAAATATAGACTTTAATTCTACACCTTTCTAGACGTTCTGTGGATGTATTATTTTTGAAAAAAAAATGGTGAAACAGCTATACATATGACCTTTAACTTCTTGTTAAATTAATAAGTACCTGATAGTTTGAACCTCTGCAGTAAGTGAAAGTTTACTGTCATAACAAAAAGATTTGGGTCTAAATTAATTTAAACTGGGCAGATAGACACACACAAAACACACCTTGCTTTACCTACTACTACTTACCTACTACTTTGGGATGTAAATCACTAGTTTCATCACAATAAGACATTATATTGATTCTTTGGACAACGATAGTTTATTTGCCGATGTTACAACACGAAAAAAACCTGCTCAGCGCTGTCTCATAGGAATGCTTGCCGACAGGAGAATGTGTGACAGGGAGGTCGCGTTTGAAAACTGGTGATTAACAGCTGACATTTGAACATCGTAATCATGATGTGAAACACATCCTAGCGCACATTTAATGCAATGCAAATTCTTATTTTAATGTAAATTCAATGGTGCGTATTTGACCATTTCTTCTATGAAATTTTAGGGGAAGTTCAGCCTCCCTTGTTGTCTCAGAGCAAACGCCCCTGGTGTAAACTGTGTCAAGAAAACTACAAGGACAGAGAAATATGGCTGTCCATACACGAAAATGATTTAACAACCCGTAACAGTGAACTATAAGTGTGCATGAGCTTCTGTGGTAACCTATAATCCTGTTAAATTAGATCCCAGCGGCAGGTGGCAGTCAAAACAAATAAGATTGCAGTCCCTCTTAATGTGATGATATTATCATCTGATTATCCTGTTTGCTTTACAAGCACGAGGCAAGGCGCAGCCGTTTGTCCTGTCGCTACCAGGATGGTAACAGGAACCCTCGTCTCCTGCTGAGGCCCATCAAAGAGGAGGATGAATGGGACAGCCCCCACATCGTACGCTACCTGGACGTGCTGTCACACATGGAGATTGAGAAGATTAAGGAGCTGGCAAAACCCAGGGTAAGACAAGAAGCAATACATAAATAGTAATAAAATTCTGCACATAAGACATTAAACAGAATCAGAGATGATGACATTTATCACATTTATGACATTGTATCAAGTTCTGATATAATTTTCATAAGGATGGCAATGTCATTATAAAACATAAACTGTCTACAGATGGACTTGGCAGTTCAGTTAGAATGTTGTGCTTTCTTTTTCTCTCATCACCATAAATTTCGTGACTCTTTCACATTAAGTTTTAAGTATGTGAAGGTGATTGATTGGCAAAAATATATCTTTACCTTGACCAGAACATTTTTATTCAAATTTGTTTTTGATCAGGCATGTTTACCTTGAAGAAAGACACACCTCAGCATCTTCTTCAGATCATGCTTTCATCATCTTCAAATTATGCATGCTTTAATGTTCAAAACAATGCCTAAAATATGGGGTTTGTCAGTTGCTAACATATGCAAAATGTTAGTTTTGTGGTGCTTTTCTCTAACAAAATGCACAAAAATGTAAGAATATCCACTGTGTTTAACACTCAGATGTAGTGATAGCATTGTGCCTGCAAGCAGCCTCATCAGGGGCTGACAACTATAACATCATAACCCTCCAAAAGACAAAATATTTGGTGTTTCAGAAGTTAAACAATACTAACACAGAGAGGGAAATCATTTGGCCAGGAGCTTATCATATCAGGCAGTGGTGCTGATAAAGCATCATTTCTTTTAAAAGACATTTTAAAAACGTAAAGTTTTACAGAGCAATCATTCTTACTCTCTGTGTATAAAAGCTGTTCTCTCAGAGAGAAGGATCTGAATGTGCATACACAATAAGAAAGAGATATTAAGTAAGTAATATTCATAGTAAAAGATGAACATATGTGAGTAAATGAAAAGTCTTTTGTGGCACAGCGTTGACACAGCTACATGTTAAACAATGGAAAGAGTGGATGAACTCTGGTGTTTAATGTTTATGATGACAAACACTTATTTTATTTGTGTTGTTTTTCTTTTTAAGCTCGCCAGAGCCACTGTGCGTGACCCCAAAACAGGTGTCCTGACCACAGCCAACTACAGAGTATCAAAAAGGTAACTCATTCAGCAGAAAGATCCTTTGGGTGCCCTCTTGTGGATTTCAGTCATTAATACATGGTCAAAACTCAATGAGCTTGGGTTTTATTAATTATTACTCACAACATATGCAGCGTAAACCAGGGTCCTCCAACATTACTATATTACTTTTTTTGTAAGTTTTTTGAGGGTTTCAGGAGCTTTGCCTTTTTACTCATTTATCTCTTCACTCACTTTTGTCACATGTGCTCTTGGAGCAGAAAATGTAACAATTTCCGGGGGTGCTTTCAACATACCTAGTTGTTATAAAAAAGATGAGGCTTATATATACACAAGCCTCTTAGAAAATTACAGTACGACAGCAGCAGTAGCAGGGCTCGACAGTGTGAGCGTTTCACTCGCATTTGCGACTAAAAATAGGTGTGTGAACTGTAAAAAATATTTAGGGGCACATGTGCGCATAAAAAAATCAGCTGAAGCAGCCTATATTTTTGTCAATAAAAAAATATGATAATCTAACCGCAAATGTTGGAGGAACTCCAGCAGCCTTCCCTCTTCCCCGTGTGACACAGTTATGGGCGGTTTTCCAAGCCACTGTCGGTACAATGAATATAAGTCCCACTGTCGGCAGCGTTTAAATAAGTCAAAGTGTGGAGGAAGCGGCGGACCTATGGTGAAGCCTGCTCCGTTCTCCCCACAGTTAGGGACCGTTCGCCACAGTACCGCTGCTGGGCAGGGTGGAAATAAAGCCCTTTTCACACAGAGCGCGCAAAGCGCAGACCTCCGCCAACGAACCCATTCATTGTGTATGTGCTACCGTGGCGCAAGAGCGCACCGCTCTGCCGCCGAGTTGAGCGGCGCGCGAGAGGGCACATGCCGCGGCTGCCGCCAGCCTGTGCTCGAATTGAAAAATTTTTAATTTCACTGCAACGCGCTGTGACAACACCTCGGCGCATCCAATAGCAGAGAAGAGCCTGAAGTAGACATGGAAGCGGTCACCATTGAGCTGTAGCTCCTGAATGAGCCTGTACTCCCCCAAATCCTGTCTTGCGCGCCTTGCTCTCCGCTTGCTCTGCGCCCTACCCCACAGTGGGCGCCGCGAAAATCGCACTCTGTGTGAAAGAGGCTTTAGTCAAAGTGTGGCGGAGAAGAGGGACTGGGAAAAGCGGCGGACCTCCAAGGAAGCCTGCTCCGTTCACCCCGCAGTTAGGGACCATTCGCCACGGTACCACTGCTGGGCAGGGTGGAAATAAGTCCTGCAGAGTTTCAGAGGACCTGGAGAATGTTTTAGGATAGTAATAACATTATATAAGATAACCATGTTGCAAAGATAATATATATAAGATAATAACATTAAAGACAAAATTAAATTGCAATACTTTTTCAAAACTTGATGATTTTATCTTTCTGTACATATTTACATTGTGCCCCTAAAGTTCTTTGTGCGCTCCTTATTTTTTCAACTTAGGAGCACATGTGCTCCTTGGGGAAAAAAGTTAGCGTCAAGCCCTGAGTAGGACATTAGCAAGTTAGCTGTGGTTGGCAACTGGTTTATGACACGTAACTGCACCACTAAAACAGTAGAGCTGTGTGGAAAATCTGGTAAAAACTTTTCACTTAGTCTGAATTACCAGGACTGATTGCTGACGAGGTGCAGGTGAAGAAAGACAGAAACTGAAATGTCCAGCCCCCAGTGCCAAGTCTGAGCACTCAATGACCTTAACATCCCATGCCCACCCAGTGTTAATGTGTATGCCTGTATGCACTCACTGTACTACGTGCTTATACTGTCTGTACACTTTTTTGTTTTTTTCCAGTGCATGGTTGGAAGGAGAGGACGACCCTGTGATTGACAGAGTCAATCAGAGAATACAAGACATCACAGGCCTTACAGTGGACACTGCAGAGTTACTACAGGTAATATAGTGCATTACATATGACAGATTTACAGATATTACTACATCATCATGTCACATATTACACAGAAATCTAATATGCACCCTTTTTTATTTAGACAACATTAGCACTCGTTAAAATGAAAGTGAGATACACAGCATGTGACTCAGGACTGTGTGTATGTCAAAAACAGTCGCACAAAAAATGTAAACGAAGCAAAATAAGTACAACAGTGGACAATAAGACAAAAAAGGGTAAAAAATAACACAGCAGTCATCACACAGTAAGACAAAGGATTGCATAGTGTCCTTAAAGCCTTTTGAAGGGATGAATTGAGTTTGACAAACCCCCTCCTCACCATGCTGGCTGTGTTTACAACGTAGGACTGTTGGGGCGGGTGTAAATCGAAACAAACCAATCATGTTTTGTCTTTTGACAACTGACAAGTGCCTCAACCTCACACACCTCATCCCTCTCCTTGCATCCCTGTTAGCGCCGCTGTTAGCTGTTAGCTGTTAGCTGTTAGCTGTGATTGCATTATCTTTCTCCTTCAGCAGCTCTTTCCACCTGGGAAAGGCAACCCCGATGTTGACCCTCATTTTTTTAATTTGCCGGACACGTTTTCTTTTTGATTCCCTTTTGCGCCTAGCCTGGAAATCCAGACCCAAATCTAGAAAGATTTAGGGTCTGGCCATGAGTAATGAAAATGGCCCAACTCAAGGGGCGGCACCAAGCATGCATTTGTAAATATCACTGCATGCAATTGGGTAACACTACAACCAATCAGAACAATACACGGGGTGACGAATCCAGAGCGCTACCAGTGGAGCTAACTGGTAGATTAGACTCTTGCCGTATCCGGTCGGCAAAACAGCAAAAATGTCCTTCTTGCAAAGGAAAGACTCGAGCGCCGTCTTCTGTTCCTCTTTTAGAGAAAAAGCCAAGTCTAACTCGTTCATTGTAGCGGCCAAAGCCGTTTCAAACAACTGGTGTTCATCCATAGCCATCTTGCAATGTTTACTGACTTCGTCGTTGCAGCACTGTCATCATCTGTTTAACTTGCCTCTGACCCGCCTATATCAGATAGACCGATGTGATTGGTGCAGCTCGGCTCCAACGGCATGGGTAATGAGCATCATTACTGATTGCCAGAGTGACTCGCTGAGCAAATTCAAATTGTGCTCTTGCGAGAACTCTGGATTTCCAGGGTATTTTGCGCTTTCTTGGCGACAAGGATTCCGTCTCCCGTGATGCTGCACATGCATGATCCTGCGTTGTGCTCAAAGAGTGGGACTTTGTTATGCTGCAGTAGTGCCAGGGTAGTAGCGAAGCACCTCTTGCTTCTCTCCTTAGGCTTCTCAGTCACGCAGCGCTGGCCTGGCTCTCAACGAAAACGCTGATGTATTCTCAAAATGGCGAAACGTTATGGAACCCCCCAGATGACTTACCTGTACAATGTACAAACAAAACCGAAATTCTCCTTTTAGATTATTGGTGGAGGTAATAGTACACCAATGATGACATATTTATGAATGCAGACATCGATTTTTGCCAATAAACAACTGAAAATGTTACACAATGTCCCTTTAAGTCCACAGCTGAGTTGTAAATTGTAGCAAGGTGTACTGCAAATATTTTCAAAATAACACCTATTGTATATTACAGCTTAGATTACAGCTATGAAAATGAACCTTGTGTAAATAATGTTGTAAACCAATTATTTTGCCTTATTTGGGGATCTCTAAGGCAACATTCACAGGATCAAAGATACAGCACATGCACATGTATTGCATTGAATCTTTTTGAATTGAACTATAGGTTGTTTGTTTATTTGTTTTTAAATATATTGTCATTTGCCGACCAGGTCGCTAACTATGGAGTTGGAGGACAGTACGAGCCACATTATGACTTCTCAAGGGTGAGTTCACTCATGGGTGAAAGTGAGGGTGTGAGTAAGTGTGAATGTGGAAATCTGCATGACATGACTTGACATGCTTCAAGTCCTTGAAAGCAGATTGAAAAGAACGTGTGGACCAAATGTTGCTGAAACCCTGGATTGAGTAGAGAAGTCAATTTGACCCAATTCAGTGTTTGCTGACATTATTTTTTGTTTTATATTTGATAACTTTAATTTAATTGGGACATCTTGCTAAAGTTAAAGTCAACATAGTGATGTGTTTTCAATGTCCTGTGTACATTTTGTATCCATCTGTGTTCTTTGGCATTTATATTATCCCAGGCTGTTTTTATAAAACATTTAAGAAATATGAACATTTTACACATATTTGTTTAAGTTCAGGTCACATGCAATTTTATCTTCAGGGCCTGACCTCTCATAACATACCTGCACCAGTGAGAGAACCCCTGATGTTTCCCCGGCTGTGGTGTCAGGGTAGTATGGTTCCTATGAGGACACTGATAGTTCACACACATTTAAAGCTCAAAACCGTTTATCTTGATGCTCTGTGTGCTCTCTTTATGCTCCCATTCAAATGACTTTGACCTCTCAGCGAATGTTTGCAGCTAATCAGTTTGTGTCTGAGACTGAGGATAATGGTTAAGAGGACCTTGATTATAAGGCATCCTCCTCTGATGAGAGCAAGACCCTTTGGGGTTCTGCCAGACACACTGTCAGCCATGTCCAAGACATAAAATCAGTGTTGTTTTTAGCTTATCAAAAATGACATACTTGAGATGACAAACTTAGAGGGGGGGTGCATGTATAGGGCCAGTTTGGAGGGCATGGATGTGACCCACTTGCAAAGTTTAACTTGATCTTGCTGATGCTCTGAATCACGTCCCTTCTCTCAGCTTTGAATCTTTGACAATGAATCATTAAATGTTCTATAAAATTTTGCCTGTCTGCAAAAGTCACATCTCTGTGTTGTGTTTTCCATTTTAAAGACTGTGCTGCTAATCTGGATATTCTTGTCTCCTTTTTCCTGCTTCTTCCTGTGCCTCTCATTTTATAAGACCATCACCGTTAAACCATCACTCTCTTCCTCCCACTACTCATGCCACCTTTTCTTGAATTTGTCTTTGATTGCAATCCTCATTTCAGTGTTACTTAAGTTAACTGTGATGTAATTGTGATTGTTTTTGTGGCATTTTTTCAGATGTGTCTGCTCATTTATTTCCTCTGATTCAAATATGTGCTTGTATCCATAGACATATCACAATCACCTCCATCATTTGAATCTAAGTATGTGGTCTGCCTCCAAAGCAGCTGGTTTGTCTTGCTTTCATTTCTCTGCTATACGCTGAAAAAACATCCATCCATCCCTGACGTTTATACTTTGATCTAGGATCTGAGTTATGGTCTGTCTGAGTGTTAATCTGGCAACCATCTATGAATTTTGTAGGATCTATAGCTGTGTGTAGTACTTGCATCTGCACAGCTGGCTAAAGTCTTGCTATAGAATGACTGATTTGTTAAATACAGTATTATACAAATGGTCAGTGTGAACAAACTCAATGCATAACTGACCCGAGGTTAAGAATGTACCAAATTATGTAAGCTGATAAATGGTCAATGTCGTCTGTGGATATTCCTTACAAAAATACCCGACTAATACATCTTCTAAGTGCTCAATTTTATTTTTAGATTTTTAAGCATATCATTTAAAGTTAGTTGTAACAGATAGTCGATTTCATTTGATGTGAGTTTAGTTAGTGTCCTTCGTGACGGGGTCATACTTTGAGTCTTTTTAGAAAAGGGTTAAACGTTCTAACCATCTGTTGCAGCGTCCTTTTGACAGCAACTTGAAGAGCGACGGAAATAGACTTGCCACCTTCCTAAACTACGTAAGTACACGTGCGTGTGAGCAAGCAGTGTTTTCATGGTGTGTTTTCATTCTTGAATTTTATCTTTGTAGAAAGATGAACCTGATGCTTTCAAAAGATTAGGCACTGGAAATCGCTTGGCGACTTTTTTGAACTACGTAAGTAAGTGCATTCCAGTCGCCGTTGATTGAAGGCAGTCCCCTGAAATCTTGGCTCAGTCTTGTTGTAGCTTCATGAGCATTTGCTTAAGCTCTGGTTCAATCTTGGACTTGGATTGATTGACTTTCATTTGGTGTGTAGTGTGGCTTTACAGTCATGTAGTTCAAAATTTAGATCTACTTGAGGTACTACTTAGAAAACTTTTGAGAAATTGTAGCCGAATAAATATAACATCACCTAGATGTCAACTATCTAAGAGTGAAGTTTTTCTGTCAATCAGTTCCAGTACATATTGTGGAGAGTTTTCTCAGGCATCCCCCATTAACATGCTGACGTAGTAGCCACTCTTTATTCTACCCTTGCTAACACTGGGTCGTACAAATACAATACTTCCCAAAAGGAAAAAAATATGTAGTCTTTGAATGCAGTATGCGCTTGAAATTAGTTTTCTTTTCTCTCCGTCTAATGAGTGATTGATTGAAGTTTGCTGTTTGCCTTGATACATGATGTGGAAGTGCATATTTGATGTACGTATATCGTAAATGTAACCAAATAAGTTGAACATAAGATATGGACAAGATAAAACTACATAACAAAACTCAGAGCAATGAAGTCAGTGATTGCTGTAGGGAAACAATAGCCAGGTGCTGTAGCAGCAAACACCACAGAAATAAAATATAGCCGTTAAATTCATTAAAAACATTTTAGACAGAATTATAAACCAATTCAATTGTGATAACGGCCAAGAATGATTCAGATAATATTTCATACGGCACTGAAACAAATGGTACAAGGACAACACCTCACAAAGTTACAGTACACAATTAGACCATCACTTCAGATCAACAAACAAGTGTTTTGACTTGTGGAGAAAAATATTTTGGGACACCACTGATCATCCAAACTAAGTCACATGAAATGGATTTTCTTATCAAACAATGTGATGAAATAATGTGTGGAACAACTGGTGGCTCGGTTCAAAAGAAGACCATACTTCCTTTTCCTTTGCTCTGAAACAAGTATTTCTTCAGTCTTCGTAGTTTTCTCTCACTGTAGTGCACAACTGTCTTATATTTCACTGCTGTGTAAATATCTTACTTGTCACTTTGTGCATCTTATTTCTTGTAAGACCATCACAGGACCTTGTTATTTATCACACATTGAGCAGTTTTTTGTAAAGAAGTATTTCCACTTGTATTTCTGGGTGTATTTAAGGATATTATTTGCATTACTATCACGTTTGTGTTACTTAAACGCAAAATAACTTAGAGCAACATGTGCATTTTATGTTGACTTGTTATATATGTTGCTCTGAAAAGTAAAACAAATGTATACAGCTTTTTGCTAAGCTACAAATGCAGATGTATCTAAAAAAAGATGCATCCTTTGAGCTGAATATGAGAGGGTTTTTTTAAGGGGACGGTTCAAATCCTTTGAAGTGGGGCTGTGTGAGGTGCTTATCCAAAGTCAGTGTATTGCGTACAGTATATGTTAGTTGGCACGGCACCAGCTTGGATTGAGGCTGGAGTCCAGAACAGAAGCTCAGCAATGTATCTTTGTGGAGGAGTCAGCAAGAAAATGTTTTTTCGCCACCTTAAAAGTCCCAGTTTAAGTGTATGCTGTATTAAGAATATTTTCACTGCCTTACCTTGCTGTCAGTTAGCGATTTCCAACAAGGAACTGAAGCAGTTACATCACCCTCCTCAGTACCAGACACCCGTTGAGAAAAACAGTAGTTCAGCATCACTGAGCGCAGGAGTGGCTGGTCTACTGCTGCCTCCATCAGGTAGTTTGTTCCTGTTGCTGTGTGACTTTGGTGTTTTTAAGGGTTAGTTCATAATTACCAAAATCTTACAATAACATCAACAAACGAACTGATCGAAGCAGCTTTTGACCAGCAGCCTGCGCTCACAGAGCTAAAATTAGTGTTTTTGTCTATGGAGTCTGATAGCTTTGACAAGAACATCGATGGGAAACTGAGGCTGAGAACGGCTTCCCCATCAGAAAGGTAAAGCAGTGAAAATATTCTAAATATAGCGTACACTTAAACTGATACTGCTTTTTTCACATTGGACTTTTTCTAGGTGACAAAGATACATTTTGCTGCTGCCCTCTGTCTAAGCATTGCATTGCTTCGCTTTTGTGCTAGTACTCCTGTCTGTTTCTCCAAACTGGTGCAGTGCCAACTGACATCTACAGTATATAAAACACTGACTGTGGAGAAGTACCTCATACAACCCCACTTCAAAAGATGCAAATTATGCCTTAAGGGAAAAGAGAGTCCTAAGAGACCATTTCCAACAAGTTTGTTGTCTTTTCTCAGATGAGTGATGTCGAGGCAGGAGGTGCCACAGTCTTCCCTGACTTTGGAGCAGCGATTTGGCCAAGAAAGGTGATGACGACAGTTGTGTCTTTTTGTGTGCACTTGTGTGTTAAGAAATACTAGGCTAAGTGCCAGTTCATAGTGTGTTGAGCGTGCTTACTCTGCCATTGTCAACTTGCAGTTATCAGGCATCTTCATTTTCCTATCCTTCCCAAATATTTTGTCTGGCAAGGAAAATAATACACATCTTGATCTCTCTGTCAAAAGTTTCTTTACTTTAGTTTCTTGCTTGTACTATACATCTTCCTTAAACACTCATATCATGAAATCTAAAACCTGAGTTCACCTTTGTTTGTGTTGTAGCTTTGAAAGCAACCTACAATCGACCTGGGATGCTTGATGCATTTGGGCAGTATTAAGTTAAACTTTTCTTTCAAATTTCTTGCACATCAGCCGCTCCACAAATTCAATCATGCTGTTTCCCACCCAATTTTCTGGCATATAGTAGATCCTCAGATTCTCCCTGCAGGCTTTCAGTATCTTCACGTTTTACCTCAGATGTACTCTACTACTTTTGCTTTAACACAATCTCCTTGCTTTGCCGATATGGCGTCGATAGTATAGTCGTCAAGCCACCAAAAGTCTGCTTGAGGAACACTTGGGTCTGCAATGAGCCATGCTCAGTGTGTTCCAGGTCTTCTTTGACCCAGCATCTGTTCTTGTTTTTTTTCCCACGTTCCTTTTCTATTGTGCACATTGGATGCTGCCATCATTTTTGTTCCATTTCTCCACAGGGGACGGCAGTTTTCTGGTACAATCTCTTCAAGAGTGGGGAGGGAGACTATAGGACCAGGCACGCAGCCTGTCCTGTCTTAGTAGGAAGTAAATGGGGTGAGTCAAAGTAAATATTCATCACAAGAGCAAGAAATTAAAGTCATTTGAAGGCATTTTTAATGATAAATTGCTTTGAATCATGAATTTGTAACACATTTTAAATGTTATATGATGCCATTTCAATATGATTCCATAGAAAGTCCTTAATATTTTCTCAACATGTGCAAGGTAGTATGTGAAGAATAAACTATATTTATTGTTTGTCTTGTGTTTATATGGTGGACAGCATGGTGCCTCAGAGTGTTGTAAAAGTGCTGTGGTATTGCACATTGCAGATGCCGAATTCTCTCGTTATTCAAGAACACGTCTCATTTCAGTGTTGGCTGATGACACCCAACTTAATCTCTCTTTAAACTGCATATGACGCCAACTGATGAGCAAATCTCGCCAACTGCCTCCAGAGTAAAATGTTGACATGACAGCAGTCAGTCCTATAAACAAAGGGCATGGCTTTAATTAGTGTGATAAAAATCACATGAGCTTTGTGCTTTACTCCTTCAAAACAAAAAAGAAAAATGGTTTTCACACAGATTCACATGGTTTTTAGAAGTAAACACTGATAATTGTTAAAATAGGCTCTATGGGCAACTGTGGCAGGATCATAGTGCACCAAGGATCCTGTCAGTCCTGATATCTTTCTTGTGTGCATGTGTGCCACTGATTTAGTTAGTGGTGAGTTGACTGGCACATGCACGAGTTCAACTTAGTGCCATTCAGACACCACGAACAGCTCCCTAATCTCTAACCTCAGCTTGTTATTGTTAAGAGGGAAATTTAAAACAAACTAAGGGTGCAAACTTTTGGTAACGTTGCTGTCATTATCAGCGCTGCCAGCTCCGGCAAGTCATTGTTTATATGTTTTCCAAGCTTTGCAAGGAAGAAATGCTCCCAGTATGATTAGGTTGTGCACATAGTGCCCATAGTGTCCTTGTTCTGCTTGTGATCTTTGATGTAGATAGATAGATAGATAGATAGATACTTTATTGTCCCCGAAGGGAAATTTGTCTTGGACTCCATGAGCTGAGACAAGCTGCCGCCATAGTTAGACTTACAGAAGGAGAAGACAGGTAAAGTTGCACAGTTGCACAACAGAATAACAACAGAGTTGCACATTTGCGCAACAAATACACAGATAAACAAAAGTTGCACGTATGCACAACAATAAATACAATACTACCTATACTGCTCATACACACAGCAATAAATACAATAAATACACACATTACACATTCCCACATGTTCCCATACAAGTACAGTAAGGGGATAGACCACAGCATCAACATATATTGCACATCTCAAACTGTTACCTTATTTAATATTCTAATAGAGGTAGGGACAAATGAATATTTAAATCTGTTAAGCTTGCAGATGGGGGCTCTGTATCGTTTGCCAGATGGTAACAGTACATTTTCTGAGTTGAGGATGTAAGCGGGATCGGATACGGCTCTCTGTGCCAGTCTGAGGACAAACTCTTCATAGATTGACTTCAAGGAGGAGTTTTCAGGCCTCCCTATGACCTTCATTGCAGTCTGGACCAGACGGTTAAGTTTAGATTTAGAGTGAACAGAGAGATTTCCATACCACACTGACATGCCAAACCTGATGATGCTTTCTAACACAGCCTGATAAAACAAAAACATAAGCTTCTGGTCAACTCCAAAGACCCTGAGTCTACGTAAAAAATATAGAGGAGAAGGAGAAGATATTTTAACAAAAATATATTCTTGAACTTTTCTTGATGATTTTTCTTTTCAGCACAAACAAAGCAAAGTTATTTTAGCACCTGAACAAGGAAATCTATCAAACACTGCTGCAGCTTTATCATGACAACAGTGTTGATATATTAGGCAGGGTGTGTTACAAGGAGCACACTTAACCTTACTGGGGGAAAGCATTTACCACGTGCTGACATGGAACACTGGTAATAAAGACATGTAGTATCTCTGTATTGTATAACACAGGCATTACTTAACTGGCTCTGATATTTCTGGTCCTCACATTTTTTTGTTCTGTTTTGTTTTGTCAGTGTCAAACAAGTGGATTCACGAGCGAGGACAAGAGTTCAGAAGACCCTGTGGCCTGACAGAGGTGGACTGAAGTTTGACTCACTCCTAAGGAATGTGCAAGAACACTCGCATACATACATACACATACAGCCACAACAGTGCCTTAACTATGGCAACAATGCAACTCAGAGACACACACTTAAACACTTATCACTTACCCAACTTATCAACATGATAAAGGAAAAAAAATCAGGAGGAAACTGTGACACTGTTATGTATTTTATGGCTGGATAATTTTTTAAGTGTTTTTTTATTATTTTTTTTTACCAGAAGATACAGAGCTCAGTTCTCTGTCATGCATTCCCACACCACCCCCACTCAATTAAATATGTGAATTAAGATGAGAAATTATTAAAAATGTAAATAGAATTTACCAATGAACTTTTAAAAAGTGAAACTATGTCAGTGTAATCTTGGTTTGCCAGTATATCCCCATTTAATAGTCACTAAAATCAGATTTTAAATTAAGTTACTGGTTGATCCAAATGTCTGAGTCCTCTGCCAAATCTTTTCCCCCCCCTCTGATACCAAAAACTAATACCTGTGTGTTCGTGCTGTCAGTGCCCCAGACTGCTCCACTAAGCTTTTTCTCTTCACACTTTAAAGAGACTTAACTTTTTCAAAGTAAAAGCTTTAGTGGTGTTACAGATAAGACCTTATTGATTTAGCTAATATCTGTTACATACAGGAGATGTGACGAAAACTTTACCATACCAAATGACGTGCATGAGCAGATTAATCTGATTTATTTCAAGGTTGTATGCACATTTCTTAAAGAGAAAGAAAGAAAAGTTGTATTCATTTTTGATAAATATTGTCATTCAATATTTTTTTTTTTATTTTAAATAATAGTAGGGTGGTACATTACAAAAACCCACAATTAAGACAAGCGTAATAGCAGCCACAAAGTAAGAATAAACACAAACACATGAAAATAAAAACCAGTGGACAACCAGCAGAATTTGGGAAGTGTTGTCTTTTATATACTTATTTTGTTATATTTGATACCTCCATACTTGTGACTCTTGACTCATTGATATTGGGGCCCAGTCTCTTAAAAACCTCCAGGTTTCCTCTCAGCACATGTGACAGTCTCTACAATTGTAAAATGGACATAAGTTTTACATACCACATTGTAACGTGAGGGGGCTCTTCATCCAACCATTTTGTAAAATTGTAATGGATGCAGCATACAAAGCTATTCTAAGGATATATCTGTACCTACGTTTATAGCTGTAATCTAATCCCAGTGCAAAATGATGATGGATTTAGAGGCATATCAATCCAAAATATTTTATTAATCTCTCTCGACTAACAGCCAGAAACTGACAATTTTAAGGCACGACCACGACATGATCATCAGTGCCACAGCTATTTCTACATTTCCAACATGGATCATATTTACATTGGACAGCTTTTGATTTAAAAAAAAAAAGCTTTTGGTGATGGACTCAGACGTATGGACCCAACTGTAGACTCTGTTCTATACTCTGATATTACAAATTACACCCGAGTTGACCACTGCCCAATTCTACAATGCGAGCACACATTCAAGTTGTCCAGAAAGTTTTTTTGGGCAGCACTGAAAACATATTCATATATATATTTGGCTGCCAACTTTAAAAAATGTCCGTTTACAAAAATACCTTGACTGCAAGGTATTTAGAGGTTCATTTAGGACAGAGTTGAAGAAAAACAACTTTACTCTGTTGTTTATCATCATCATCGTCTTAATGTATCTTCATTGTTGACAGCTTTACTTTGTGATTAAACCATCTTTCTATGTCTCCATTCTTTATCAGTTGCACCCAAAGTGTTTTTTACTTTCCTTCAAACATGACAGAGAAATTAATTTCCTCCAAATCATGTCCATGATGGTTTTATTTATATAGTGTTTAAATTATTACATTGTTCCATTTTGTGCCCTTTCTACAAGGTGGCAAACAAACAAGTCAATAAACAGTGTCTTTTATTAAAAGGTTTGGTGTGTTCATTCACTATCTATATCTCACATGGTTTCTCACAGTAAACAGAGGAAGCAGAGGAAAGCGTGGATATAGAATCTCCAGTGTTGTTTGCTGGAAGCCATTACACACTTATTATGAGCCAGCTGGGGAGCCCACCAGCGACCCATACAGATCTGTTATTCTAAACTTTGTCTGACACAACTAACTTTCCAGGAGTTGTACAAACTGTCCCACTGTTGAGCTGAAATAAAGCAAGTGATCAATTCCCCCCATGCTTGGTGACGCCCCAAATCGACCCTATTAAATGTATGTTATGTATCTCATTATCAATTTTTTTTTTTTTTTTATTTTATTTAATCTTTATTTAACCAGGCAGTCTCATTGAGATCAAGATCTCTTTTTCAAGAGAGACCTGAGAACAAAGCAACATCCATAACAACAAAAACACACAGACACAAGCAGGAACAACACAACAAGGAATTAATAAAAACAATTACATGAATCATGAAAAACATCGGATAGAGAAGCTTTAAAAACTCCAAGAGGAACAAGAGATTCAAGTTTGAGGGTCGATTGTAACTCGTTCCATTTAAAAGGTGCATAGTACCTGAAACCAGATCTACCAACATTTGTGCGCATGCAGGGGATATCTAAGGTTAGGTAGTTACTGCATTTGAAAGAGAGAAGAGATGTGAGGTAGTTTGGTAGCTTTAACAGTAGAGCTTTAAAAATAAATAACGAGATGGATATTTCTTCTTGTCTGTAAGGAAGTCCATCCAACTGTTTGATACAGAGAACAATGATGAGTACGAAATGCATCATTTGTGATCAACCGTAATGCACTGTGATACACAGGGTTTAACAGCTGAAGTGTTGATGGAGCAGCATGACAATACAGAATGTCACCATAGTCCAGAACAGTAAAGAAGGTTGACTGCACAATAGTTTTACGGCTGGAAGAAGACAGCCTTTAATTCTATACAGGAAGCCTAGTTTGATTTTTAATTTTTGAGTCAACTGTTGAATATGAGTCTTGAATGTTAGTCGACTGTCAAGTGTAATTCCGAGATATTTGTAGGACTCAACCTGAGTAATATGGCTGCCATTTCACGTTTTGATGGCAGGATATTCCGAGTCACTGGTGGAGGTAGAGAATATCATGAACTTGGTATTTTCTGCATTTAAAACTAGTCTGTGATTAATGAGTGATTGTTGAAAATCATCAAAAGCAGACTGTAGATGACTCAGAGCCTCGGCTGGAGTGGAGCCCAAAGCATATAAAATAGTATCATCAGCAAAAAAATGGATGAAGTATTGAATAGGAATAACCATATTATTTATGTATAACGTGAACAACAATGGACCGAGGATAGACCCCTGTGGCAACCCGTTTCTGATGACTAGTTGGCTTGATGGATGTAGCATAAGTATGGGGAAAAAAGTATATGTTGTAAAGGATCTGTCACAAACAGGAATGCCATTCAAAAGGGCACATAAGTTAGCCACACCTCTAGCCAGCTTGCCGAGTCCTTATTTCCCCCAGTGTTTTGTATGGTCAACCTGAAAATAGGGTGAACAGTTTGGAAGAACTTCATATTATGAATATTTTCAAGCTCCTCACTCTGCTAAACTGACACTGAACTTTTGTCTAGTCTGAAATGATGATGTTTTTTATGCTTTTATAAGATCATTATAAAACAGAGGTCATATTCTTTTCAGTTATGTCATGCAGATGTCCTGCCACCCATTTATTTATGGGTGCATTAGTTTTTACTGTTGATGTGACTGCTTTGCTCAGGCCCAGGGGGACTGTGGGCTTGGTAAGTTTGCGATGTAGGTTGAAAAACTGGAGTGGAATGTGCTGAGGGTTAGATGGAGCCATGATTGAGCAACATGGAGCTACACATGGAGCCATGGACTCAGTGGGGAGCCTACACCAAGGGAGGAGGTAGGTGGAGCGCCGGCTTATGCAAGAGTCTGGTGATTCATAAACATACAGTTTTTAAGCAAGAACACACTAAAGCATCTCCTGGAAAAGGGGGAACTTTTGAGGTCAAGCAGGCAAGACACAATTCTTTAAAAAGAAATGTAACATAGTCACAATAATTGACCGTAAGTTACATTAAAGCAATGCTTTCTTACATATTGCAAAATACATACATAGATTTATGATGTTGTGTTCGTATCTCGTTTTGGCACAGCCTGACTTTGCGTGCCTTGTTGCAGCTGAGAATTTCTATTACTCACGGATCACCAAATGTTTGGAAAAACAGTGAACAATCACTCTGAAGACCGTTAGTTCATCGTAGCGTACACATTTCACACGTTTCACATGCTGTCTCTTTGATCACCAGTCGAGGTGCATTTTATTCAACATGTCATAAACGATGCATCGTGCTTCAGATGTCCAGTCTGTGTGTCCACATCTGACTTATACCACACAATTTATTCCCCTCTACTTACCTAGTTAAATGGATGGTTAGTCGCTGCTCTGTGGCCCCTAAGGGCTCAACAATTAAGAAAATGTGCAATAGACACAACACGACCAAGATGACAAGACATGCAGCATTTAGAAAACAAATTTAACAACACAAGCACAGCATTTTGAAAAGGTGCTGCAAGAGGGGACACTAAAAAATGATGCACGCGACCATGACATGGTGGTTGCCATGGTTTGTTGAAGTTTATTGAAGTCGGTTAAGGCAAGAGATTTAAGGCCTACTTCACTCATCAGAATAGGGGGTAGCTAGGATGTGAATTTGTCATTATTGTTTTTAATCTCTGTTTTTCCTTGAGCTTCCCTGAGTGGCTCCATAGCCCATTCCCATCAAATATAGATATGGAGCCAATCCAAGGAGCAAACAGCACTGGAGGGAGTTACCAGGAAGCTGTCGCCAAAACAAACAGCTAATTTCTTTAGCAAGATGCAAATACTCCTTAAAAAAATGGCATCATTGCACAAGCTGTGTGTGCACTTCAGCAGAATAGAGTGCCCTAGGAATGAGTCCTAAAACCCTGGAGAAGATTCGTCATTTTACAACTCACAGCTCCCTCATCTCAAAGTTGATGTGTGTATTTTTTTAATGGGTTTTTGGTTAGATGCCTGAAATAAGCTCTATGGTTAACACAAGCTTAAGAGGCTTCAAAGGAGCACACTGTAATTTGAGTATTATTCTCACGTACATCCTTTTCCCAAGACGTCATTTCACACCTCCTGTCCCCTGAAGCCATACCGAATTGTTCAGAGCTACGGCACTAATTTAGAGTTTTAAAACTCAATCCACAAGTCACGTCAGTTTTGATAGACATTATTCAGTATCTTGCGGAACTTTTATCTCTCCCCTCTGGCAGTGAGAGTATTAACACAATCACTGTTGACCGCAACAAGGCGCCAGGTATGGATGAGATTTCTCCCGAGATGCTGAAGGCTCTGGACATTCTTGGGCATTCTGTGCTGACACGTCTTTTCAGTGTCGTGTGGAGGTCAGGTACAGTGCCTGCGGAGTGGCAGACCAGGGTGATAGTTCCCCCATCAGGGTATCACACTGCTCAACATCCTGGGAAAAGTTTACTCAGGGGTGCTGGAAAGGAGGCTCCGACTGATTGTTGAACCTCAGATTCAGGAGGAGCAATGCCGCTCTTTACCTTTGCAGGGCTGCTGGAGGGGTTGTGGGAGTTTGCCCATCCAGTCTGCAAGTGTTTTGTGGACTTGGAAAAGGCTTATGACCGTGTCCCTCTTGGAAGGGGGGTACTGCAGGATTACAGGGTCCGCTGCCACAAGCTATCCCATCTCTGTATGACCAAAGTAATAGCGGCATCCACGTACTGAGCATAAAGTCAAACAGGTTCTCAGTGGGTGTTGGCCTCCACCAGGGTTGGTCCTTGTTACCAGTCCTGTTTGTGATATTTATGGACAGAAGGTGTGGCAGGGTGTAGGAAGTGGTCCAGTTTGGGAACCTCAGAATTGTGTCTTTTTGCATATGAAGTGGTTCTGTTGGCTGCATCACACCGTGACCCCCAGATTGTATTGGGGCTGTTTGCAGGCAGGTGTGAAGCTGTCGAAATGAAAGTCAACACCTCCAAGCCTGAGGCCATGGTTCTCTGCTGGAAACCAGTGGATTGCCCCCTCCGGGTTGGGAGAGAGTTACTGCCTCAAGCAGGGGAGCTCAAGTATCAGGGGTTTGTTCATGAGTGAGGGTAAGATAGATCAGCAGTTCAGTGTGGCGTCTGTGCCAGACCGTTGTGGTGAAGAGGGAGCTGAGCCAGAAGGCGAAGCTTTCCATTTACTGGTCCATGTACGTCCCAACCCTCACCTATGGTTATGAGCTCTGAGAAGTGACAGAAATAATGAGATTGTGGGTACAAGTGGCCGAAATGAGTTTCCTCCATGGGGTGGCTGGGCTCAGCCTCAGTGATAGAGGGAGATCGGAGTAGAGCCACTGCTTTTTTGCGTCGAAAATGGTCACTT